AAAATAATTTATTATTTTTTTTTGAAATACACGGCACATCTTCTGTAATTTGAAAGCTGGCAAAAGCAATCTGTAGTTCTTTTGGGATCTGCCCTGAATTCTGGAAAGCTGGAGGTGGAATTCAACATCTGTATGTCCCCATGTGTTTGCAAATCCATTATCGTAGGAGGGAAGGACTGAAGGGGCTGTTTGTATTGGGTTAAGTCTTGTGAGCATTTACGCAACCACTTGCTAGACACTCATCAAACCCCACCTCAGAGCAAGTTAGATTTGTTTGCCTCCGCTCTTGTCTCCACTATTGGAAGACTGATTGATGCAGCGATACGTTTCTTAATGTCTTGTGTAAATATATTCATGCTTTATTTATGCCCATTGATTTTACTACCAATATTGACTCTCAGCGAAAACATTTTTTGTGCTTTTATAGAGATCACTCTTTTTTTCCAGGTGGGGCAGGCAGCCCATGTAAGCCAGGCATTTCTATTTTGCTTTCCTAATTAAAGTTTTCTGTCCCTCTAATCATTACAGCAGCCTCTCTGTGCGTGCAGCACAACTGTGATTTAAACTTCCAGGAACGGGGGTGACTGGAGCTGCAAGCAGTGCTCCAGGAGGAGAAGCTTCAGCCTGAGGCATTCGTGTGGCCCTGTTTTCACTGGAGCGGTGTCGCCTGGTATGGATCGTACCTGCTTTTTTACAGGGAGGAGGGCGAGGCATCATTTCCTTCTTCTGTCGTTTCCATGTTTTAACTCCCAATTTACAGCAGATGCTCTTATCCTAGCCTCAAAATGCATAATTTTGCACTTTATACTGTTAAATTGCATCCCACTTACATTAGTCCCGTGCTCAAAGCAATCCAGCTGCGCCTTCTGCTCATTCTCCGCATTAATGATGTTTCACAGCCTTGTGACAACACCCGTTTTGGCACTGTTTAGTACCAAAATCTGTACTATAAATATGTAAATGCGCACACAAGCACACTCGTATTTTGATTTTCTTTTTATATGCCACTACTTCTCTGTTGTATATTACCTGCTATTTACTTTTGGAAGTTTCTTAGGTACTTTAGATTTCTTCTAATCCTAGTCTTTTCCCCCTTAAAAATGGTTATGGCGTAGTTAATACTATGCTAAGTCCACATGCGTTATGGTTAATTCATTACTTGGTTACATATCGGTTTGACGTGATTTTCTTTCATGTACTTGGCATTTTGTCCCACTTTTCTCTGTGACATAAGGTATTTTTTCTTGGACATTTGTGCTGAAGCTTTTCGTACTCCTGAGATCAGACTAATAAGGTAGCTAATTTTCAACATTTCTTAGACATAAATACTAGTTTTCCTTTCTCCTAGTCTGGCATAGTCCCTGTTCTCTCTTCCTTTTTGTTGTCCTTAGTTTATCAGATTACTGAAATGCAGAGCTGCTTCATGACGCTGACTTTCAGTGTTTCCTGGACGGAACTGCCTCTGCAGTAGCGAGACTGGTACCTCAGCTTATAAATATCTGCAGGGTGGGTGTCAGGAGGACGGGGCCAGACTCTTTCCAGTGGTGCCCAGCGACAGGACAAGGGGCAACGGGCACAAACTGAAGCAGAGGAAGCTCCAGCTGAACCCGAGGAAGAACTTCTTCCCTCTGAGGGTGCCGGAGCCCTGGCCCAGGCTGCCCAGGGAGGCTGTGGAGTCTCCTTCTCTGGAGATATTCCAGCCCCGCCTGGACGCGGTGCTGTGCAGCCTGCTCTGGGTGACCCTGCTTGGGCAGGGGGGTTGGACTGGGTGACCCACAGAGGTCCCTCCCAACCCCTGCCATTCTGTGATTCAGCCATCATCTTTCTGTTACTTCTGTAGGATCCAGTTTCATTCCCTACGCTGTTTTTCCATTCTGTTGCCCAAGTTTCTCTCATTAGTGCATAAAGACTTTGATTGTTCCCAACTAACCATTCACAGGTTCTTAGCTGAATTAATTCCTGCAGTGCCTGCACCATCAGTCTATCAGCATTGCTGTTTCCTTTCCCTGCTCCGCATCCTCCTGCATCCCATTAACTTTTGCCTTTCACTGTGGGACTTCCCAGTTGCCACCTACTCATTTTCTCCTCTCTGCTGTACGTGGGAAGAGGCGGGAAGCTTTGAAATGTTTTCTTTTCAATATTGCTTTCAGTAGATGTTGTTTTTGTCAAGTCCTGTATCATGATTTAAGGCAGTTGACAGAGTTTGGGATAAATGTACCTGTTTCACACGTGCTGCACGATAACTATTAATGGCAAAGGTTACTTCCCAGACAATACGGAATTGCTGGTGTTTGTGCAAGAAAGGTTATCAGTACTTTTAAATCCCTTAAGGGTGGCTGAGGTCATACTTCTCCTTCTGCCTGCATCTAGGAATTGAAAAAATAAGAGTGCTTTGTCAGCTCGATGTAGTCCTTGTACTGGACTTTGGTGCCCACACAGACACCCGGCTCTGCTTGGGTGTAGGGTCTGGAGCAGAGTGTCACTGTGAGGAGAGCAGGACACGATGCTCACGTTGGAGTCCTTTCGGCCAGTCGATGCCGTCTGCTGCCTCTGCACCTCTGGATTTGCCGTAGAAGAACAAAGTGACAGCTGAAATATGACGGTGTGGTTGGCGTCTGTCCCGTTTTGATTTCATGGGACCCGTCTGCCACATGGCAACACGAAAGGACTCGAAGCAGCAGAGGGGCTTTAGAAAAACAGAAAGCTGGTGGTCTTGGCGTTAGATTAAGTTCAGTCTGTTGTGCTTGAGTCTCCCCCTGTGAGCAAGCAGAAGGAAAGGTGGTGAGGATTTAGGCCTCAGAAAAAGTCATTTAATTGCTGATCACCACCAATCACTTTCCCAAATTCCTTTCCTCGTCTTCTGGAACAGTTGTATTTCTCAGCCAGCTGTCCCAGGAGATTTCTGTGTAGGAATTGGCTGCAACTCTTGAACCCTGGATCCAAGTGGTTATTGTAAATGTCACAGATGAGATGCTGGGCTCTTTAATGCCAGTGTGAGTTTCATTAATGACTTGCTAAGGTCAGGATTTCACTGATGTTTACATATGTGTTGGACGTTCTTTTGGTGGTACTCTGAGGGTGGGAAAGGATTTGATTGTTTATGTAAAACGGTGCTGAACAGATCTCAGACTGATCCAGTGCTGCATCTGGATTCACTCTCACCAGGGACAACATGGAACAAAACTCCTGAAAAAGTATTTTTTTTTAAAATTGAAATCAGAAGCCTTGAAAGCCCTCCCATTTTACTGTTTCATCTGAGGGAAGGGCTGGAAACTTCATCTTTTCTCAGCTGAAGCAAGTTATCAGATTTTGAATGTGCTGCGCCGTATCAGGACTGCTACAGGTAATAACTCCATCATTACCGAGGGTGTGCTGAAAGACATCTTGGGCTGACGCCTTCAAATCGCCCTGTAAATCTGCCCGACACAGCTTTAAAAGAAATAAAACAAGACTGAAAGCTCCGGTGTTTAGTCTAAAAACACACATGGCTGTGGTTGCTGTTTTAGCCTACGTGGGCTGACCGTGGAAGCCTTTTGTCAGCTCTCCGGCCTACTGAGTGGTGTCAGCTTGATTTGTGTGTTAATTTGCTGACTTTTCGGTTTGATGCTTACCATTAAAATTCACATAAAGAGCCTGTGTGTCTTTGCTTTATTTAGCAGCTTTTCCTAATCTAAACGCTTTTCCAAAGACCGCCCTTGGTATCACTGAAACTAAGAGAAAGTTCTTTCAACGTTTATTCACCGTTGGAATCATTTCTTCACCATTTCCATGATGCTGAAAGGATGGAGGCAGATGGAGAGCCTTGTAAAGTGATGATATAACCAGTCGCAGAGAAGAAACACGGTAGCAGTCTTGCAAGATCTTTCCATTATGGAAAAATACTGAATGTAATGATCAATCATGTAAGCCATGAACCACCTACTGTCAGCTCAGCCTCGTGCCTTCCTGGCACCAAAGCTTGTCCTGTTTTAAGTTAAAGGATGCTTCTTGCTCCATCTCACATGTCCCTGCTCTTTAGGTCTGGCTTGATTGAGGGAGATGAGGTGTTACTGGCAGAGGCTGCCAGATCCTGGGAAACAGCCCTGGACTGGATCTCAGTCCCGACTTGCAATCAGGACGGTGTTCTGAGTTTCCGTTGCGTGGTGATGGCGTGTGTGGTTGTGATGATATGCTTGGGGCAGATGAGGTACTATGGACCTTCCTCCCTGGAACAGATCACTTCTAAAATGTTAATAATACAATAATATAGTAAGTATATGGAATAAAATATAGGCAGTTTAGCCGGCATTTTAATGTTGGATGGAATAATTGCTATTTCTGTAGTGTTTGTTTGGCCTGAATGCCTCCCCTCATGCTCTTCTACTAAGGAGAGCTCTACAGGCCAATGTCCGTGCATGGGGGTGTTTATTTCCAAAGGACGGGTGAAATCATGCTACGCTTACTGCATCTCAGAAACTGGAGAGTCACGCCTTGGAAGGGTCCCTTCCAAGAACAACTCCAGCAAGCAGTTCCTTGAGTCACTAACAGTATCTCTATTTTTCGAGTCAACACTGATCAAAAATGCACCCTCCGGAAGCGGCTGGAGGGCGTGGGTTTGGTGTAAGGTAAAAGGCTCACAAATTCCCATTGGGCTTTTGATAAAAATAGAAAGATCAACCATTGTTTAGAAGTAGTCGTCAAGTATGATTTCCCTAGCTTAAATGAATGTCCCTCTGTGTCTGAAAAGAAAAAATGGTATTGCCCTTTATGTCAGCATCTGTTGAGTGCTGTTGAATATCTGCCATGCCACCTACCTTAAGCCACAACTCATGGATGAAGTCAGTCTTTGTCCCAACCTGTTGCTGCAGCTTGAAGCCCCCAGTGATGGCAGCGAAGCTAGGATCAGGCCCGTAGGGGAGAGAGCCTCTAAAGTTGTCTATCACCCATCCACAATAATTAAAAAAAAATCTAGGTTTATATTTGCCACCACTGAATGCTGTGTCCTGTTTTGCTTTCCACAGGCAGAGTCACCCCAGAACAGCTCAGCTCATACATTCAGCTTTTCAGAAATAATCTCAAAGCTTTGGAGAACCATTGTGGTCTTCTACAGCTTGTGCTGGCCACAGTCCAGACTTTGAAACACCCCCAGACTTCCAAATGGGACAACTTCCTTGCCTTTGAGAGATTACTTCTGCAGGTACGTATTATGTGGATTTATTTGACCTAAGTAAAAATGTTTTATTTAATTTTTTGAATTCCCACCGAATTCTGAAACTTGTATTTTTTACAAAATGTGTTGGGTGTCTTGGTAAAAAGCTCTTCCTTACTGCCAAACTGGTAAAAGGAATGGGCAGCTACACAGTTCATCTTTTGTAGTTTTATCCTGTAAGAATTTTTTTAAATGAAAGGATAAACATTAAAGGTGAAATAAATAGATAATCTGAATTGGGTGGCAGTTTTATATCTATATGAAATTTCAAGATGATAGAACTTTTAGCATTGGATAGGATTATTATTAGTATTATTATCATTATTATCGCTGCCAGTCTGAAGGTGCTTCTTGAGGTAACATGCTGAATCAATGCAGAGAGGACTTTGGTACTATGTGAGTGTAAACCTTGTGTAATTTACTGAGCAGATGAAAGCGTAGCAGGACATTCCATGCACCAAGAGAGTGAGGTTTCTCTTGCTCACAGCTGTCATCTACCCTCCGCTGTTCCCACCGCCACGTTTTTTACGGCATCCTGTTGGTGACCACAGTATTGTTTACATACCACTTTGTATCGCTCTTGGATTTCTCTCAGGAAATTAAGAGTTAGTGGTAGATTGAACTCTATCCTACTAACCTTTGGAAATGTACCAAAGGAGGAGTTTTTCTGAAAACCTGATAGGGTTCATTTCTGCTGAAACTGAAAGTTTCCTCCCTGTGCTGTCTTTTGTGCCGTTGTGTTGTTTTTAGAGGAACCATCTTCTGAAATCCTAGCAAGAGGCAAGTGTTCATCAGCTCACTCCTAATGAAGTTAGTCAGGCTCAAATGAGTGAAGTGAATAGTGTGGACCTCAACTAAAACCAGATACTTCTTTGGTAAAAAATTAGCTGTCTTCATCGAGATGTCAAAAATGAACCAATAACCCGACTCTCCCCATGATCTTTGGCAGCAGTTTATAATCCCTGGGCCTTTGAGAAGACTCAGCTCATACTTCATAGCTTTGTAGTAGATGAATTTCTGTGGAGGCAGAAACTGGAAAACTTTAATAGTAGCAAGCTCTTGTCTACATTAATTTAAAATCTCTTCTCTCTTGGTAGGACTGAAATATTTTTGAGGAACTTTGGCAGTCTGCTTTCTCTAGGTGAGAAGCAAACACATCCTGGGTACAAAACTCACTGCAGCCGTGCTGTTTTTCGTCGGAACTGTAGAGCATGGACTGACAGCCCATAGTCCCCTGCCCTCTCCTGCGGTGACTCACGTCACATAGCTCTGCTCAGGAGCTGGCTGCGTTCCGTCAGAAAACCAGTTCTGCTTTAGAATCAAAATAAAGCTGCAAGCTCAGCATTGTTTTCACAACAACAGGCAGCTGCCTATATAAAAGCCATGCTGTAAATCATCAGGGAGTGGAAAAACAGAAGTCAGAAACGACCAAACTATATATTTGATAAAAAAGAAATGTATAACAAGCACTCTCATAATCGTGGGCGGCTTCGGATTGCACCCGCTGCCTTCCACCCTTCATATTAAGGTAAAATGCGTTAGCCAAAGCAAACTTTCTAGGCTAACATTTGTAACTGCTCCTTAAGCACATACTCATTTTCGGTAGCTCAGACAACAGTTATTTTGAATTACACAATCTGTACAGCACGAATCCTTTTGCTGACTCTGTTTTGAAGACAAAGTGTGACAGGCATTATCTGCTGCCGAGCACGGCCTGTCTCTGATCTGTTGACAAGGGTCTGTAGGAAGAGCAAAATACAGAGAGACCCAGAAGACATCAGAGACATTTTTATTTAAAAAAATCAACTAGGACATTACACTGCGAGTGGTTGGTACGTAGCACTCTGCACTAAATTTGGTGCCGTGGTGGTTTATTTCAGCAGTATTACTGAGAAATTCTTTAGCACGATTGTTACGTGTCAGATATTTTAAAATAATAAATCTTTAAAAATCCTCAATAAAAAGGAATTGTTTCAACATGAAGGTAGTATTGTTACTATCCTATATTGGAACCACTTAGAAGACAACTGTTTGTGAAAGATCCACTGGGAGTAATATTATTAGACTCGAACAATGTAGGAATTCTAGATTTTTCACTGACGGATGCATGTCAGACTCCAGCTGATGCCAAAGGAGATAACCCAGTATAAACAGCTGATGTTAGAATTCTCAGATTTCCCCCCAGAATAAATCTGCACACTTTTGGAATTTCTCTCATTGCTGGGCCTCTCTGATGGGTCTCATGATTCTTTGCTTAGTCTACCTTGTGCTTTTCAGAAAAGCCACATTGTTGGCATAAAACCTTCAGCCTAACTCTGATGTTGAATACCCTTTCCCATTTTTCTTCTTCTCTTTGCTCCTTGATTCCCTCCTTTCAGTAAATGTTGCAGGTACTCAGTTCTAAAAATGGCCTGGTACAGGTAGAAAGCAGCCCACTTCCATTATATCTGTAATTCCATTTTTCAGACTGATGTTCTCTTGGCAAGTTTTTTTTACTCCAGCAGGGAAGTTTGGTTTTGAGTAGAAGTCCGCTGAAAGTCAGCGCAGCTGCATACTCACTACAGAGTTGTCCTCTCCTTAACTGGGCCTGAGAGCAAACCTGGATTTTGGTGGGATCATGGCCTTGACCTCAAAGGAAAGAGGATCACGTGCTGAGTTAGAGTAATGCATCGGAATGGTTCATCTTGTCGATCCCAAGTTGTTTCTGTGTTCTGCTGCTCTGCCTCTGCACGTGATGGAGATTTTACCGCCCAGAAGCTTTCAGCGCTTTGTGAATTGAAACAGTATAGCCTATCTACCAAGGAGATATCCCACCCCATCGTGTTTTCCTTCTCTTGAGGTCCTCTCTTCAGTTTTCTAACTCTGCCCATCCATAAAACTGATAGGTGGGAAGGGGAACACAAGCGAAATGCTGCACCATGCTGCCTGCAACTGCCCAGGATTCCTCATACAACTGCCCTGTTTTGCTTCAAGCGAGGATTTAAAATTTAGGGAGGTAACAGAAAGTAAGAATGTGTGTTTTCACTCCATACTTTTCAGCTCTGTTTAGCTATATCCCCAGTTCTCCTCAAATTTATGGCTGTTATGGAGGTTTATTAAGCAGCAGAGGCCCGTGAAATACAAAAAGCACAGGAAGAGGAGCTCTCTCCAGAGTTTGAGCAAAATATTTTGGTTGTTTTTAACATATACTACTCATACATTCACTGAGCAGGGATTTCTGCCTCCAAATTCAGTGTAAAAATACTCAGCAGCAGTAGGCAGTGTGAACGGAGGCACAACGTGCCCCGAGGGCAAGTGCGGTTGCTCTGTGAAGGGTTCTGCTCTCAAATGCCCCGGGCTGGACGCGACCTCTTTGAGTTGGCTGCATCCTTCTGGTATAGTCTTGCTCTCAAGATTTAGGAGTAAAGCACTTCTCATACTGAGTAGTAGTCTATTTTATCAATAGCCCCATCCATTCAGACCCCGAGGTTGGGGTTTATTCAGTGCAAGCAAGTTTATCAGACCAAGTTTCTAAAATAGCACATGGAGTGCTTGAAATGCATTTCCTCCCAAAGAGAACAGACGTTCTCCAGCAATTTAAAACTCTGCTGCTGGACGTTAAAGGGAGACAGAAGGGGAGGGGGAGGATTTAAGCTGATTCCAAGTTTCTGTAGGTTGCCGTGAGCAAAGATACTGTCATGTTAAGAAGTTTACTCTTAGTGCTGTAATTTCTGTGCGGCAGCACATCCTGGCGACAGTTGTATTGGTTGGCCCTGCATGGCACCTACAGGTTGGTCACTTCTTGTCCTCAGCTCGTTGCTTGCTGCCAATTTTAGATGCAAACCTTTCCGCTAAACTGAGTGGATTTAAAGTGCCAAGTCCTGTGTGTACTGTGTTGGGATCCCATGGTGGAACATTCACAGTGTAGATGCCTCGCTATAACATACAATCACAGAATCACAGACTGATCGGGGTTGGCAGGGCCCTCTGTGGGTCACCCAGCCCAACCCCCTGCTGAAGCAGGGTCACCCAGAGCAGGCTGCCCCGGAACTTGTCC